CTCCTCCTCCCCTCCTCCTCCTCTCTCTCTCTCTGCCCTGCTCGCAGCCCGACAGGTCGGAGGGCGAGGCTCCCGACCCGATTCGCACGCCCCGCGACCGCGGCCGCCAGGCCCGAACCGTGCCGGCGCTCCCTGGGGATCCCGCCTCGTGTCTTCGACGACCGACGACTGCGTAACGCGGCCGCCAGGCCCAAAATGTGCCCGTGCTCCTTGGGGATCCCGCCTCGCATTCTGGAGCAGGGATCGCTCGAAGCAGACCCATGGCTTGACATCGCTCGGGCGTCCATTCCCGGTGCTCTTTTCGGTTTCGTGCGTGCTTTTTTCCAGATGATCTAGGATGCTCCTCGATTGTCCCCGCCGAGAACAAAATTCACACGTCCGAGCGATGCCAAGTGGCAAGTGGCACTGCGTGGCAGATGCCTCTGGGTGGCCTTCACCACAAAAGTAAGCTACATGGCACAACACCTGGGGCTCCCCAGAGCAGACTGCAGCTGCACCGCTGCCAAAGGGATCCTCAGCAAAAAAACATAATTTGAAAGTCCGATGGCACATTCAGAGTCTGAAAGTTATGCAGTACACTGACAACAATCAGACAGGGAGCCCGTTGAGAATGAGAGCCGCGTGGGAGCCGCGTGAGAGCCGCCTGGGGGCCGCGGGAGAGCCGCATCCAACGCTATGCCTACAGCGTGAGAGCCCGCTTGCTGGAGGGAAGTCTGTGAGGGAGGCACTCCGCGATACAACCATTTGTCCAGCCCTGTTTAGTTTCGACCGATGCTCCAGCGCCATTGCCTCACTCCTGTTGATCTTGCGGAGGTGCTCGGCACTGACGTCTACGATCTGGCCGTCCGCATGGAATTTGACTTCCAAGTATCCCTTCGCCCAAGCTTTGCCTAGAACGATGCAATAATCGTCTGCCCGCCCTTCGAGCTCCAAAGCAGCCGACGAGGCCTCCGCCGTGAGAGCCGCCTTATCGCCCTTTTCGAAACCGTGCATGCCGCAATCGAGGCACAGGTCGCGCACGAAGGGCTGGGCCACTTTCCATCCAACAAACTTGTTGAACCCATCCGTGTCCATGGTGTCAGTGTGGATGCGCTGCGACCGAGCCCTGGCCTCTGCGACCATACGCTGGAACGACTCGCTGCTGGGCTCCTCCTCCTCGAACCACCGCTGCCGCCTCGGCCTGGCGGGGGGGGTGCTGCCGGACCCCTCTCGCACCCAATGGAGGCTGCGCCTGTGCTGGATGAGCGCATCTCCCGGCTCCATCTCGCTGTGGGGCTGGAACGGGATCGGATCCCGAAGTACGGGCACCAGGAAGCTGGAGCGCCCCCCAGCTGCGCCTCCCTGCAAGGGCACGGGCCTCGGAATCGGAGTGACGAGCGGCGCCGGCATGGCGGGCCGCCGAACCGGGGGGTGGTTGTCACAACCTTCGGCGAGTGCGCTGGGGAACCTGCGTGGCTGCGGACCGCCTTTCCGTCGCGGTGTCGATGGCCGAGATCTTTCCTAGAAGCCGCAAACAAAAACAGCATGTTTGCCAGCTTGGGTCCCCTGAAGCGGTAAGCAATTCCACCCTCGGTGCTATATATATATATATATATATATGTTTTGCAAACTGTGCGTTGCGTTTCGTGGGGAGTGTCGTGTGTGTGTGTGTGTGTGTTAGGGCGGTGAGATGACAGCTACGGGGTGCAAACTATATAATGAAAACTGCTTGACGCAGTCGATGTGGTGCAAGCTATGTGATGCAACCTCTGTGGTGCAAGCTGTGTGGTGGCTTGCTCTCGTGGAGCGGGCATGACATGAATGCGTCCGAGAAGTCTATGATTCATATCCCCTTTGGATTGGCTCGGTCTGCACCATAGAGGGCAGCACCGCCCGCTTGGGGATTTAGCATCGGAGATCTGATAGTGAGGCCGCCACAAGCGAAAGTCATCAACAGAAGCAACAGGAAGGAGTGCAGAGACAGCTGCAATAACAGTGTGTATGAGGGAATGTAGAGAGGAGCATGGTACTGACATGCATATATATATGTACATATACACATGTACATAACAGAACGTACAGCACACACACACACATATATATATATATATATATATATAGATCTGTGTATACACAGAGATACATACACATATGAAGCGCGCGCGAGAGAGAGAGAGAGAGAGAGAGAAAGAGAGCGAGAGAGAATGAGAGAAACCACATAAAGAGAGAAAACGAGAGAGAGAGAGAGACACATATATATATATATATATATAGAAAACAAACAAAGAGAAGACAATACGGGTAGTACACACGCAACGCTTTATCAACTTTTCGCTCCCCCCCTGGCTGCCGAGATCCACTTCAGATCCTCTTCCATAGGAATGCCTTTCGACTCCTGGCGACTCGAGGACCATAGTAGACAAAAAAAAGGCAAATTTCCTTATCCTTTTGCTGCTCCCCCTCTTCCTCCTGCTTCTTCTTCTCCCTTCGATCCTCTTCCTTCGCTTCCTCCCACCGTCCTTCCCGGGCGACGATCCGTGGCAGGGCCCAAGCTGCAACAAGATGGGACATGCAGCTCGTGCGTAAGATTGGCGACCAGTGGGAGTCCATGTGACCCTTGTCCCATCCTCGACCACCCCATCTATTTCGTCCTCCTGGCCGATACAATCCAAGACGGTTGGATGATTAATCACGTTGGCAGAACGTGCATGCCAATAAGATCCCCAAACCGTGAGATACTGCACTCTGGATGTGCGAACTATGTGGGGCAATCTATGTGATGCGAGCTATGTGATGACGTGCGCGGTGCAAACAACGTGGTGCAGTGTGTGTGTGTGTGTGGTGCATAACTTTGTGATGCAATCGTAGTGGTGGAAACAATGTGGTGCAATCTGTGTCCGACCGAGGGATCACCTTGAGGAGGAGGAGGAGGTCTGAGTCTCACGATGATGAGAAGGGCGAGTCCCGCTCCTGCTCATCCTCCCGCTCTTAGCTCAAGCTCGCGCGGCTCCTTCGCGTACTTCAGGATGCCCCACGCCGCGTCGCCGGTGAGGACGCCGGGCTTGACACCGTCCACCTCCTTGTAGGACATGGCGGCGCAGAACTCTGGCTGGCTGCTCGGGCAGACGCGCGAGAGGCCGGGCAGGCTCCGGGCTGCCGTGTGTGACCTTTTTTTCAACGGTCCTGTGGTGGATCCTCGATCTGAGGAGACAGCGCCCCGCGACACTCCTCCTTCTCCTCCCTCTCCCACCTCCTCCCATCCCTGCCTCCTCCCATCCCTGCCTCCGCCCTCCGCATGTCTCTGTTTCAGCACTCCCCCTCGAACGTTTCGTGGCCCACTGGGCAGCTCCACTCAAGGTCTTAGTGGCACGGTCCGCGTGCGTCCCCACCACCCCTTTCGGCACTCCCCTCACACGTTTCGTGGCCCCCTGGGGAGCTCCGCCGAAGGTTCCAATGGCACCGTTCGCATGCGACATCGCCACCCATGTCGGTACACCCCTCACACGCCTCGTGGCCCCATAGGGAGCTCCACTTTTTGGCGGTCAGGGCCTCACACGCAGCGTCGAGGTACGCACATACGTACACACAGACGTACGCACACACACAGACACAAACGGACAAACAAACACACACACACCGACACACACACACCCACACATAGACACACACACACACACGCAAACACGCACGCACACACGCACACACAGACACACAAGCACACAAGCACATAATCACACACAAACACACAAACACATACACACAAACACACAAGCACACAAGCACACAATCACGCAAGCACACGAACACACAAGCACACAAACACAGAAACACACAACCACACGAACACACATAATCAAGCAAACACACAAAGACACACAAAGACACACAAAAACACGAAAACACATAAACACACGAACACACAAATGCACCACCACACCACGACATACCAACACACCAACACACTAAAGCACCAAAACACAAACACACCGACACACGAACACACCAACACATGAACACACCAACATACGAACATACGAACACACGAACACACAAACACACGACCACACGAGCACACCAACACACGAACACAACCACACAAGAACACACATACACACCACACACAAAGACACACATACGCACTCGTACACGCACACTCACACACAACGACAACACACATAACACATAAACACAACACACACAGCTATCACGCACAACACACAACACACAACACAAACCCACACACAAACACAAACACAAACACACACACGACACACACACACACATCACACACATATACACACAGACATACACAGACACACACAGACACACACACACATACGCACATACACACCCACACACCCCTACACCCACATACCCACATCCACACACACACACACACGCACGCACACGCATTCACACACGCACGCACCCCCCCCCCCCACACACACACACCCACTCACCCACACACCGACTTTCACCACCCACCACACACCACCCACCACACACCAACTACCACCCACCACCCACCACCCACCATAAACCACACACCACACAGGACACACCACACACCACACATACACACCACACACCACACGCCACAAACCACACACCACACACTACACACACCACACAGCACACACCACACGCCACACGCCACACGCCACACACCACACGCACCACACCCCACACATCACACGCCACACACCACACACCACACACCAGACACCTCACACCAGACACCACACACACCACACACCACACACACACAAACACACGCAAACACACCCACACACCCACACACCCACGCACCCACACCCACGCTCACACACACACCCATACTCACCCACACACATACACCCACATACATCCACACACACACCCACACACACACACTCGCACGCCCGCACGCCCGCACGCACTCACGCACACGCACGCGCTCTCTTCGTTTCCAGTTCCGGTCATGTCCAATTCTGGCCACGAATCAGAAACGAGAGGTGCCGACCGGATGATGGCGGTAGAGTTGTGCCCACGAGTTAGAAATGAGAGCTCTGCACGCTTCGCAGCCCCCACGGGCAGCTCAACCGAGAGTCCCAGTGGCCCAGCCCGCATGCGCCCGCCCCGTTCATGTCGGCACAGCGCCCCCTCGCGCCCGAGGGCCTGCCGACCCCTCCTGCCTCGCCCCTCCTCCTCTTACTCCTCCGGGCCCCGCGGGCAGCCGAGAGGTCGCCCGACCTTCCAAGCGTGCCGTGAAAAATGTCACCCCTCGTGGATGTCACCCCTCGTGGCTCGAGCCGACAGGGCAGGAGAGCGAGGACAGGGGAGCGAGCCTCACATTAGAGAGAGGAAGAACGCAACCGACATAAATTTTCGGAGCTCCGCACGGATTTCTTAGATCTGCGCTGGGCCCCCCTCCCAGGCGTGCCGAGCGCGCCAGGGGCGGCGCTGGAGGCGCCGGCAAGGGTTGCCCCGCGTGGATCCAAGGAATCCGCGTGGAGCTCCGAACATTTCTGCTTATGTGAGCTTTTCTTCTTCGAGGACCAGGGCCCGACATACGTCGGCTTGACAACATCGAGACGGCAATTCTGTTTCTT